GAAAAGTAGTATAGTAGTATAGTATAGAATAGTATCTGAACTCTAGAGGTTATGAGTTAAAGCTTATTGAATTAATATTTCGGTATTAATTCAAGTGGAACAACCCACTTTCGATGTGGAAATTCGAAAGAAACGGGTTGGGGGAAACCTTCCCAACCGACGAGATACACCTCTACGCGGTGGTTGGGACAAGTAAGAGAGAAATCTCTGAAACTAAGTATCTCGATTTTCTTGATTTTTAATTTTTTTTTTTGTAATTAAATTTATATATGTAAAACGAATAAAAATAAATAAAGAAAATAAAAATTTATTTTTTAAATAAAAAGTTTATTAATATAAATTAATAAAATATTATAAATTATGATTATGACTTTTTAATATTGCATAAAAAAAACTTAAGTAAATTGAGTTCGTTATAAATTTCAAATGTTAGACTTCGGCTAAAAATTGGATCTGTTTAACCGCATAAAAATTATTTCATAGTACTAAGTGAAATTATGTTTATCGTGCACTAGAATTACAGTATTTTAATGCCGGCTGAATTAAGTGATTAATACAAAATAACAGTATTAATGTGTAGCTAGATAAAAAAAATATATATTAACTTAAATGCGAATCTAATATACCGTACTTACTGTATCCCATCAAAAAGTACCCCATAGAATAGTAAACATAGCTAGAAGTCTTATCATATACCATTACTGTATTAAAATAATATTTCTTTAAAATAATATTTCTTGTGAAACATGTTCGGGACTTATTAGAACGACCAACACTGACAGTAAATGAGAAAGCTACTCTAAAATCTGAAAAGTTTGAAAATATATTTATCAGGAATTTATAAATATCGAATGTAACTGGTACTCCGAATAGGTCGACCGAAAGTGATTTATTATATTGGTTATGACCTATATAATAAAAATATATTATAACATACCAGTTTCGGGTAATCCAGGTCGACCAGTTCGGTGCATTAAATGCAACGGTAGACAATGTCAATAGACTTACGTGTAGGTACTTGATCTTGTTAAAAGCCTACAATATTCTTGCAACAAAATAAGTGGCTTAAAAACTATTGAATTATAGTCCGAAAATCGGATAACAATATAAAAAGTGAACCATCTTCCAAGAACGGATGAGTGAAATAAAAAACTTTCTACTAGCGATAAATTAAAATAGATTTGATTAGTAAAATTTATGTTACAATTTTTGTGAAATTTAAGACTACCTAAAACGTATTCAATTAAATAAATATTACCAAAACTGGCTGAAAAAAACTTATCGTTATTAGTTGCACTTTCCGAAGACAAATTAATTTAAAAATTTTTATAATAAATCTCATTACGAAACTACTTCTGGATATCATCAAAAAAATTTTGAGTGACTTGTGCATCACAAGATTACCCGAAAATATTAAAGTTAACTAATAAAACCACTATATTTATGGATAAGTTCGAAATCATATTAATACATTTTTCTACTACAAAGGCTCCATATTATAGTCGTTTTTTAATTGTATCTTTTTATTAGTTAATAATTATAATGATCGGATTTTAGTTGATATTTCATTGATGATTTTAATGGTCATGCTAGGAGGGGTAACGATTATATAAATGGGCTTCTTTTCTGAAGTAAAATCAAGTGTAGTCTAGTTCGAATTTGCTTAAGTTAAATAATTTTATTTATTGGGTCGAGTTCAATTGCGCTTTATACAGTATGTTGCTGATTAGCATTTAGGTGGTATTCATATTAACAATATATCAATACAAAAAAAAAGATTAAAGTGAAATTAGAAACTGTCAGTTTTGCAAGAACTCATTTTACGATTCAATTTGGTTTTGTTCAAACGTGTGTGGAGGACTTCTATTGGTTGATACGTATTATATTAAAAAATATAAATTTTGGACTTTTTACTCTGCTAACCCGACCGGATATGAAAACTAATTATATAAGTTTGTGTGTGGCCTAATAATAAATATGCCTTGGTTTGCTAACGATTATGGATATAAAAAAATTTTTTTATAAAAAATATATAAATAATATTTGTGGGATTGGACTTAGTTTTGGGATTTTGTTGTCCCAAAATTTAGTTTGACCAGTTTGACAATATCGATATGGGATTTTTAAGCACAACCAGACAATCCTATTTGTCCTGGTATGTCCAAGCCCAAAGCCCAAATCCCAAACGTTTGGATAGTCGTTACATATCGACATCAAAAGGATAAAAGGATATTAGTCAATCACGTGTAATTAAGATTATCTGACATGATAGCCAATAAAAATGAATTTCAGCCAATAAAAACGAATTTCCGATACTTTTTCAAAAAAATTTAAAAATGGAAATCGTCGAGGAAAATAATTTTCAAAATATATCTAATGAAATTCCCGATTTTTTAAAGCTTATAAATGAATTGAAAATTAAGGCTAAAGAAATAAAAGAACAAATTCTCAGTACAACAGACAGGTGAGAAAAATCAATCGTATACATTAAATGCATTATATTCAGTGTAAAGTTTTTTTTTATTCCTTAATGTTCTCGAAAAATTTTCTCTATATAGAAAATTGATTAGTGTTCACTGAGAAAATGAGAACATTGAATTTTGCACTGATATTTTAGTTATACAAAAATAATTAACAATTTTATTCAAAATAGAGTTAATAATCAGTCACTGAAGACTAATTGCGGTGTATCTCTTCTTGATCTTAAATATCATATACTCCTCCAATACATTACAAACCTAGCTTTCTTAATTCACCTGAGGTTGGATGGAAAATCAATATCCGATCATCCCGTAATTTCAAATCTGGTGGAGTTAAGAGTAGTTTTGGAAAAGATTAAACCTGTTGAACAAAAATTAAAGTATCAGATTGATAAATTAATAAGAGCTACAATAATTGAAAATATTACGGAGAAAAATGTTAATTTAATTACTCATAATAGTATGATGAAAAGAATTTTCTTTTATATTACACGTCTTTTATGTGTCGAACACGTTTATGAACTTTTTTTTTTTATATCTTACAAAATATTACAGTAGCTGATCCACTATCATTTAAGCCAAATCCGCAAGACTTTGTATCAAAAGTTGATGATGATAAGAACGAAAAAGGTAAACAAAAAAATCTTACCAAGTATAGCATATTTATTAATATATAATAATCTTATTTTTTATTTTCAATATATGAAAGTTGATAAGGTTGAGGTATATAAGGCGCCAAAATTAGCGCCCATGCATTTCGATGAAGGTAAAAATCCATAACTATGCAAATTATATCAATATATTTTTTTTATGATTTTTTTTTTCTCACACTAATCTGTTAATTTAGGGAGTCGTTCTGCACGCGAAAAAGAACAATCACGCCTTATTGCTAGAGCATCAAAATCACGTATAATGAAGGATCTCATCGAAGAATATGATGATAAACCGGAAGAGTTTGATGCAAGCGGTGGTGTACGCGCTGAAATGATGCATGATAAACGAATAGAAGAAAAGCTCGCTGAACGTAATCGATATGAAGAGGAAAATTTTGTCAGGTTGCCGATTCCAAAGAACGAGCTTAAGAAATTGAAAAATAGTTCAAAGAAACTTGAAAATGATTTTGAGGTAATTTTTTTTTTCAATTTATTGCCCTGCCCGAATTTAACTAATTAATATTTTTTTGCATATATTTCAATAGAATTTGAATGATTTTAACAGTTTAGCAACCATCCAAGAAGATATCGATTCTTTTGAGAAACAGAGAACAAATGTTTTAGTCAGGCGTAATGTTCGTAATGAAATGTACGAAGGATCTGATAATGAGGTACGAACATTGGTTTTAGCTTTGATGCTTTCGAAGGCTGCAGGGTTCACATTACTAACATTTTTTACTTGTCTAATTGCACATGATTGAATAATTACTAAAGGAATTTTCATCTAAATCTCAATCTAATGAAAAACACGTGAGACGTAATAAACCAGGAACATTTAATGGTTTATTGGATGGTTTTCCACAAAATAAAAAAAGAATTAATAAATTTCAGAAAGCCAAAAAAAATATGAAGTCGCAAAAACGCAGGCGTGTTTAATAATTTATATCGAACTAACGAAATAACTTAATAAACTGAAAAAAAATGTCGATTCATATCATTTCCTGGAAGTTTGAATCACGTACAGACTTGCACTCGTCTCAAACATTTGAATTTGAATTTGTTTATTGTTAGTAAAAATAAAATAAAATAAAAAAAACCAAAATTTTATCGAATTTTATATTATATACTGTAGTAATTCAAAAATTAATATGATAAGTTATTTTTTCACGGAAGAATTTTTCTGGTAACTCGGTGTATTAAACTATTGATAAATTTGTTGTTGAAATACACTAATTTATTGGTCGAGAAAATTTAGGGATGGATCAGTCCGGTCCAGTCCGTCCGGTCTTAATAAGATCCCAAAAGCGGTCCCGACCTCTAACAGTCTTATTGGCTAGTGGTCATTTAACATTGGAAATTGAAATAAGTGTTGTCTAAAATAATTTTTTAGTATCTAGTATTTTTAATTAACTATTTATGAAGACCGGTCTCAGGACCGGGGACCGGTTAATCATGAGACCGGTTGGACTGATCTATGATCGGCACATCTAGACGGCCAATCAAAACAAATAACTGTTGCTCTGACGTGAGACGCGTCGGTAACCCCGTCAAATTTTTAAGTTGTTTACTGCCTCCTCCTCAATGCTCTACATTTGACATGGAATCAGAAACCTTTTTAGATGAATGCATTTTATCGACTGCTCTTAAATTAAAAAACTTCTACATCGATGACGATGCGGAAGAAGAATTGGAGAACGAAATCTTTGAAACGGAGCCTCAAAAGCGATCAAAAGCTCAGACAAAGGCTTTACGTAAAAGGAGAGAAAGTGCAGCAATATTCAACCGACTCAGCGAAGGTTTGATAGTGTCTTTATTGTTTAATACTGTCTTTTATTTGTAGTCTGCAAATTAAATTAATTATGATTATCGCATTTAGATACCTCGGCCAATTTTTTGAATGATAATATTGATTTTGCGCGAACATTTTTTTTTGACGATGGCATCGATTATGATCTAACAAATGCTTCAACGGAAACTGCGAAGAATAATACAGACATCGATAAAACGTATGATCTCTGCTCTAATTTACAATTTATTTTATATTTAACTGAAATTTATTAACTGAACATTCAGTCCCAACCTAAGGAAAAATGAATCAACAGCGAACGTTCAAAAATTGTATGAAGCTCTTCGATTGCCTCGAAATGCTGCCGATGAAACCATATTGTCGGAAAATAAAACAAACTCACATGAAGCTTGTAACAATAATAAGTCAGTGAACACTTCCAATTCCAATGAACATCGACCATTATATGAAGTCACAAACAAAGGTAAAATAATTAATTTTATAGTAAATCTTGTTTTTTTTTTTTTAATCAATTTTAATATATGATTTTGATGTTGCTTCTTGAAAAAAGTCAATTATGATAAAAGTAACACGTTAAGTAACAGATCAATTCAAGATGAAACATCATATGTAAACACGGCAACAGAACAATTACAGAACGCGATGAATTCTCTTGCTCATTTCAAGGAAATTGTTTCGAAATTTAACGTGCCTTCACAATTGCAAATGAATGCGTCGTGCTCTACCCCAACCCCGAAGATGGAACATAAGAAAGCGCGCACATCAAATTTAAGACAACCAACTTTCTCTTCGCGCTTGAAACCACCCGTTCAAAGACGCTTAACTTCTACGGAAACGGTTCGCCACACGACGAATAATTACTCGGAGGATAATAAATATGCATCCAACCTATCTAATTCGAAACTTTTACGCACACCTTCTGCTAGACCAAAAAAATGACTAATTGATACACATGAGATAAACCCATTTTTTATTTCCACTTTTCAATTCATGATGACAATTAAATTGTCTTTAGCTTTCTAAGAATTTGATAGGGCTAGTTTAAGCAATATTATAGTAGCACATGTTATGTAACTCATGTTCACAATACAATGCAAATCAATGTTGTAAAAATGATAGTTTTGCAGAAAAGGTCACTCAGTATACTTGAGATGGTATCAGAATGTCGGATTCCAATTTCTAGATGAACTACTTACTCATTACATTAGGAACATAAAAAGATATTCGAAATGCAGTTTTACTAAGGATAAACTTACCCAATACCGTTTTCAATATAAGTTGTGCTTGCAATATTTGGTGTGTAAGTAGAACAATTAAAATAAAAATAAGAATGAACCGAGCCATGGGTGAAGTTCTTCGAACACGTGGTGCCATGTAAAAAATCCTATTCTGTTTTATTGGGACTAAAAAATTGTTCGTCACAACAAAAAAGAGTTATAGTTTTATGATTTTTCAAGACGCATTTATTGATTTTTCAAAATGCTGTGTTGCACGTGATCGGATACAGATGAGGCGAAGATTGCAAAAATTATGCGTTTTTTTACCTGAATTATGCCCTATATTATGGTAAAATATCTTTTATCAGAAATTGAAAGTTAAAAAAAAAAAAAGATTTATCGTTTTTAATTTTAATACAGTCAACCTCGTTAATATCAACCTCATTAATATCAACTTCCCGTTAATATCAACCTCTAACTAAGAAAAAAAATAGCTCAAGCTATATAAAAAACTATCCCATTGTTATCAACTCTC